ATATATTTATGTTTGTGGTTGTAATGTGACAAAATATGGAAAAGTTCAAGGGGTATGAATACTTTTGCAAACCACTGTACTTACCTATCTGTGTGTCTATCAAATTACCTACCTATTCACCAGCCCACCCATCTACCTACCTACCTACCCACCCACCTGTCGGTCTGTCTATTGAACAACCAACTTACCCATCTATCCATCTATTGGTCTAAATTTCTATCGAGCAATTGACCTACCCACCCATCTGTCTGTCTTTCTATTGACCGACTAACTTACCCACCCACCTAACTAACTACCTGTCTGTCAATCGAGCGACCTGCCCACATACCCACCTATCTTTCGATCTACCTACCCATCCACCCACCTGTCAGTCTATCTGTCTATTGACCGACCAACCTACCCACCCGTCTACCTAACTCTCCACCTTGGGCTTTTTTTAGCCATCTTTCTACTCCTTTAGGCTATTCTTTTATGTGCTAATCAGTGTGCATTGCCAATGCAATGCACACTATTGTGATTCGTTTCCCATCCAAGTCATCTCAACTTTGCCATGCTTCTCCTCCTGCATACTTTGTCCTAGAGCTGCCATTGTAATTTATATCTGTAAAGCCCCTGTTCCAAATTATGGCTATGCCTTTTGGTGCCTGTAAAAGTTATAGTTTTTGAAATATTAATGTTTAATCAATTATAATGGCAGTCGAAGGAGCCTTGTATTGGTCCAACACTGCCCCCTGCTGCATCTACACAATATGGTATTGCACCATAGTTTCATAATATTTAAACTCAGTAGTTCAGTAATTACAATATTAATATGATTGTATTTTGATGTTTTACTGTAATAATGTCTTTATGTTGTCCTATTGTTGTAATATATTGCACTTAAGTGTCAATAATTGCATTGGCAAGGTAAACTTTTTCTGTTTACATACAATCCAATCCCTGGGATTGTCCTCTGCCACATCTCCTATAGTCTCATGATGAGCACTGTGGGCTTTCATGCAGGAGATCAGGGTTCAAATCCAGCTACTGCAACTTTAACAAAAATCTCTTCAAACTTCATATTGTCACACAATTACCTTAATTACAAACACCTGCTGATGTGACTGGCACAAAGCTGGTATAGAAAACACATTTGAAATTGGTCAAAGTTCCTTCTGCAAGTCCAATGCTGCAGGCAAAGCCATGCTGCAATGACATGCTACATGGCAATGCACACTTGTTTTTACATCGTGAAAAACCCATGTCTAGTTTCATCTGATTTCTGCTTTTTTTAAACTACCTTTTAACCATTTTCTGCTAATTTTGGCTTCTTCAGTTATTTTTACAACAAATTGAAACTTTTTTGTACTTCTTTTTCTTGTTTTTTCTGCCAACATAAATTTTTAGTAAATTAATTTCATCTCTCTGCTAATTTCCACTCCTTTATGATACAGTTAAGATTTAAGTTTTAGATTTAGATTTACATATTTAGATTCAGGATTCAACATTTAGACTTAACATTTAAAATTAACATTTAGTAAAAATTAGCTAAATGTAAAAACAGTGAGCTAAACAACAATAAAATATTATTGGACATTTTTAAACTAGGATTTTACACTCAGAAAGTGAGCTAAATAATAAAAATGTGTTGGTGACATTTTTTAACTTTTTAATTTACACTTGGCTCCTCATATAATAAACAATAATATCACAGGTTTTTCTACTATTGTGCAACTGATAAATAGTCGTGACAAGGCAGTGTTTTATAAAAACATCAATGTTATTCTTTTAGGAGAGAATTTAAATGACCTAGTTTCAAATTTTCACAGAAAAAACAAAAAAGCTGACCAGTTCAGGGTCAACAACACAACATCCACCTGATCCTGCGAGTCTCCAGCAGATCAAACGGTAAAAAATTAAAAAGTGTTTCAAAATGAGTTGGATGAGGACGAGTTTAGTCAGTTCTCACACAAACCGGACATCAGAGGACAGGAACACTCAGCAGCCACCACCACCACCACTAACAGAAGCTGCATACAAACATGGGTCATGTGAGTGTGTGTGTGTTGGGGGTGGGGGGGTGGTCGCACTCACACCTCACTGCATCACAAACAAGCACACACAGATGGTTGTTAGGCACAAATGGAGAAGAAGCGGGGATGGTGAAAGTGTTAGTTTCACAGAAGAACCTGATAAAGCAGTGTCCACACACACACACACACACACACACACACACACACACACAAAGAGGCATGCGGCAGCGGAGTGTGACTGAGCCAGGCAGCAGCTGAAGTCGTCTCAACGTCGTGCGGCTCGGCGGTTGATGTCTGCATGCATCAGACAGCTGTCAGTCACAGGGGGGCTGTTTGTTAAAGAGAGCTGGCTCAAACACACGAAAACACATCGAGAGCCAAACAGTGAGTCAGTCGGCAGCTTCCTGTCCGCGCGCACGCTCATGCACTGAATGTACCGCGGCCATGCAGGAACGTAGAGCAGAGGAGGAAGTTTCTGCAGAATATTAAAAAATTTAAACTTGCAAAACAAAACAAACAAAAAAAAAAGAAATAAAATAAAATAAAAAATGTGACATCCCAGAGAATCAGCAGGTTACTAGAAACAGAACGGGTTGAAAGGCCAGAGTGAAGCAGCCTCGTGGCAAACAGAGAGGCAACCGGGTCATGCTGAATCAGATCTGTGTCAGGAATGCTCTCTTCCRCTCTCCTTCACACACACACACATCACAGTGAGTTTCATGGTGCAGTGTCTGCGTGCAGAAACACATTCCTTCGCCATAGCAGCTGCTCCATGCACCCATCCCTCAAACCCAAATAGAGAGGAAAAAAAGAAGAGGAAGAAGCAGCATGAGCTCAAAAGAAACAAACCGTTCAGTGCAGATTTACCGACAGGCAGAGCCCTACATAGAGACAGTTTGACCCATACAGAGGCTTCGTGTCGACGCCGACCGGGGGTCCAGACTGAGATTATGAAGAGGTGAGACAGCTGGTCAAACTGGGAGGAGTCTCTATATATGACTCTGGCTACAGTGAGACAGAC